TACGCATATAATATTTATACATTTTTTATTAAACATTATTACATTTATTAAATGCTATAATTTTTTTTATATAAACACACATACACATATATTGTTTACATTTATATTCAATCTGTATTTTATGTAAATATTTCACATGGAATGCGCTCACACTTCATGATCCAGTCAAATCCTTATTGTTGAAACCAATTTTCTTTTTTCTTTTTTGAGTTGCCTATTCCACTCAGAAATATGTCACATTGCATTAGTAAAGTGGCCTTTGAATTCTACTTTTTGTTGACTTTAAATAAAATGAAGTTGATAGAACATTAGGACCATTGTGATAACCTTCACAAAACGTTGCACTCGCATTAGAACATTTTGAACTGTAAAAACTCTACATTTTAATATTCCCACAACCAAACTGGAATGTTTGGAAAGCATCAGTTTGTTAGCAGGAGTGAGGGAGTGAGACGGAGAGAAGGAGGGGGAAAAGCTGAGAAGCTTGCTGTGCTTGCATGGAGAAGATAAGAAGACAGGTGGTTTGTAGTCTGATGAAAGAACGTCTGACAGCTGGCAACTCTCAGAACGGCTCGGTCTGTGTGTGTGCGCCTCGAAGAATGTGAATGTTTGCATGTGTGTTTGTGTGTCTGTCTGTGTTTGGCGAGTCTTTGTGGGTCTGCCAGCTGAGACACATCCCAGAAGACCCGTCCTCCGGGTGTCCTGCTCCTCTGGCGTTCCTGGCGCACACCCAGCTAATGCCAGCACCCAGAGATGCTTTAGTGTCTGACACCAGATCCGCACAGCAAGAAAGATCTCATGCTATGTGCTGAACATGCAGACACCTTAAAGTGATAGTGCACACACACACACACACACACACACACACACACACACACACACAAAAGAAAATGGTCATTAAATTCTCATGTCACAAACCTGTACATTTTCTTCTTCTTCTGAGAACCCCCTGAAATGTAGGGGGTTTTGTCCATACAATGCATTCATTCAAATAAAGTAGTATTTTATACATATCAGTGTTATTTTAGCATCGAGACTATTATAGTTTGATTAATATTTTGAATTCGTTTTTTTTTATATTTCCTATTTTTAATTTCAATTTTAATTCTACTTAATATTTCAGTAATTTTGTTGTGATTTTGTCATTTTTAATAGTTTTTGAAAATGACCTCATAGTCTTTATTTTAGTTTTAGACCTGTAAATACAAGTGCAATTTATTTATTTTCTTATTTATTTATTTGAAAAAATTACAAAACAACATAATATTTTTTCGGGCTTTATTGCAAACTATTTCTTGCACATTATATACACAGAAAATAATATAAATTGTCATTATTTACTCACCCTCATGTCACAAACCTGTAGGACTTACGTCCTTCTGAGAAATATTTTTTTGTAATAAATAAATAAACAATAAGAAAATTATAATAAAAAAATTAATTTACTCTGCAAAAACGTTTAAACACTCTTAAAAAAAGATTCTTTATTGGCATTGATGGTTCCTATAACATATATATAGTGCCTTTCCTTTGCACAAAAGGTTCTTAATAGTAGAAAATAAGGTTTTTTAGATTATTATAGAAAAAAGGTTCTTTTATGAACTGTTCAATGAAAGGTTCTATATGGAACCCAGAATGTTTTTTTTTTTGACATTGCTATTGAAAACCCCTTTTGGCATATTTATACAGGTTTGCAATGACTTGATCGAGAGTAAAGGCTTTAGATTTTTGGGTGAACTGTCCCTTTAAGGGTGATTGGCAGTGACCAGTGTTCATTTTCAGTAATAGTCAGAGACATTTGGCAAATATGAATGTAAGAGGTTATGTCCGTTTCAAAGTGACATTTTGTGTCATTATTCCCTAACTTTCTGTCTGTCTGTTTGACGGGTCACTCGAGTGATCTCCAAACACTGCCATTGTGACGATAGGCTGCTTTGTTTGCCCAGAGGAGATGGCACAAACGGGGCACATGCTGTTATTTGCTGTTGGCAAACAAGTCGAGTCCTGGGCAAGCACAGCATTGTGTAAGTACCCCACACCACAGATCACAGAGTGCTTCACTTACCCTGACTAAAACTCTTCAAAGTGCCAGGGCAGTTTCAGGCCGCAGTCTAAATGTGCGAATAATAGATGTGTGGTTTTAACTGTTACATACATAAGTTCTCTTTAATGGTCTTTTGGACCATATGCTGAGAGACTTTGATGTCCAGATTTGTCCTCTGGCTCTGATGCTTCCTGAAATGGAGTGTGAAGTCTCGTTTTGAGTCTTGATTTACTATATCAACATCAATGGTTTTGTCTCATTTCTCAGGGTGGTCTGCTGGCTCTCCTCAGCCGTTTGAGGGAATAGACAGGACTTGTCTTTGACTTTGTCTTTTGCCCAGGAGGGCTAGATCACCTGTCCATGCACAGCTTCTGATGTTTTCCAGGTGCATGAGCTTTTCTGTAAGAGAGAGAACAGAAATTCAGAACAAATGGTGTGGGGATAAAATATTTTTTGCTTCCTCTGCATCCACTGTTGCCATCCATTTATAAGCTGTTTCTATTTTTTTCCCCAGAAAAATTAAATATCACAAAAAATAATTTGCAAATCAGCACCGCTTTCATTGAAATGACAATTGTATTGTTATTTTATTAAAGGGGTGGTTGATTGCGATTTCACTTTTTTAATGTTAGTTAGTGTGTAATGTTGCTGTTTGATCATAAACAATATCTGCAAAGTTAGGAAGCTGAAAGTTCAATGCAAACGGAGATATCGTCTTTTAAAATTCTGGCAGTTTAATGCCTACAAAAACGACTGGTAAGGGCGTGTGGTTGCCGAACTGTATTAAAGCTTTTATCAGAATAAAACCTTATATTAAAAGCTAACAGAAGCAGTAGCATTTACAAATAACAGCATATCTAAAAGTATGGAAATGCATTATTAAAGTTTAATTAATTTTATTTAATTTTATAATGTATTAAATTAATTAGTCACATGACTTCACTATTCTGTGAATGTGTTTCCATTGTACTTACTGTAGAAATCTTTCTCCCAAATTAGAAATTTATTAACTCAAGTGAGTGCTGTTTTTTCTTCTTTTTTTTTGTTTTCCATTTATCATATTTGTAATGTATTGTGCCAGATTTGGCATATAAATCAATGGATAGAAACCTGGCAGAGTATTTCCATTCATCCCTTGTGCTCAAATCAGCGTCGCCCTGTACTCATCCATGAGTGTCCGTGTCCATAATAAATGTTTTGATGAAGGTAATTGCTTGGTCAGACAGTGATCACTGGATGGTGAAAATGAGTCCCGCAGAGTTCATCTCCAGGGACTACATTACAATTCACCATCTTTGAGACCACCATTACACTCTTTCACAAGCCAGCGCACATTTTATGCCATCTTATCTCGGGTAGACAGATATTTGCGCAAAGATCCTGCTTTATTAATTGATTT